TCCCTGCCCACCATCTGCAATGTGTGTGATGCATAGTTTTCACACATGCTCATATACGCTGTGTGTGATACCTTTGATACCCCTGAAGCAAGTGCACTTTTAACCTTTTACTTACACAATTAACTTTATAATTCTTTTTAATGATTTTTTAATATTAGATGCATTTCTTAAGTAAATGACTGAAATTAGTAGTTTTTTTTTCTGAAGGTAAAATTGTTTCTTGTATCTTTGGACCAGTGTAATTTAAGCTTGCCTTAATCATTTTTATTTTCGCAGGAATTTTATGAAGAATTTGTTTGGGTCTTAATGTCCTTAATATTTTGGATTGAATTGATTTGCTGTTCGAAAAATATCTTTGAAAGAATTTCAAAGAACGTTTTTTAAAAACTGAAAAACAAAAACAATGACTTGCTAGGTGAATTTTCCTTAATGTGTATGATTAGAAATTTGGTGTATCTTTAAGGTTCAATCGAGTAGTCATTGATTTTAACATTAATGTCTAATATGAAGTTGATTAGTATTGTTGGGTGAACAGAATTTAAAAGCCTGTTTCTACATTTTTATTAACAGCATATTTTTTGTTGTATTTTTGCCAGAGAACAAGATGAGTCATAATCATCGTTCATGTTGCACAATATTTACCAAGAAAAGTTCATTATTGCTGATTTTGTCTAATTATTAGCGTGAAATCAGGATTGGTTATTGTGGAGAATTCTTATATTTGTTTAAGAACGATTTCAATGTTGTGTACAGGGCCGAATTTAGAAGTTTGGAGACCTAAGCAACGAAAGGTCTCTAATTATTTTTAGAAAAAAATTTTCTCGTTAAGTTCTCAACAATTCATGTAAGCATTTAGAATTATTTTTTACAAAAATTTTAATAATTTTGTCAGAGTTAAATATAATTTATTAATAACCTGATTACCCCTTTTATGCTTTTACGACTAAAACAATAATTGTATGTTTGCAAAAGTTATGTCTGTTGAATGCAAAAAATCGTTTTAGAAGTTGCTGACTCGCCGTAATTTAGATATTTTTTGAATATTTAGATATTTTTCATCTGTTTCTGGTGGAAGTTCCGGGGTAGAAACCCGCCTGTTTTTTTTCTAAATCCAGCCGACGATATTTTCAAAATTATTATTATATCAGAAACGTTTTGAACAATGAAACAGTTGATTTAATTAAGTTAAATAATTACCATTTTGCATATAAAATTAGAAAGAACAAACGAGGCGGAGGTGTTGGTACGTTCATAAAGCATGACATCAAATATGTTATAAATGATAACAGTGTAATTGATGATGAAAATGTCGACGTTCTCTGTGTGGAGTGGACATTGAATCGGGACATGCTTCATCTAGGGGTGCGCTAAAAGTTTATTTATTTTATTTATTTATTTATTGAAAGAAGCACAAAAAAGTAAACATAATACTAGTGATAGTGCCTTAACTAAAGTTGTCCAAGTTCAACAAAAAATTCAACAAAGTTAATTGAAAATGAAGAAATTAAAAATGATGGTAATTCATGCACGCGAACATACGTCACAAAGATTTATACATTTGCATTTCAAAAGTAAATAATGTTCGCCTCCCATAATATTGACAATTAAATAAATAACGATTGAATCGACATGAAAAATTCACAGTAGAGGTTCATTACAGAAACAACTTCAAATATCAATTTTGGCATATTTTAAAAAGTTTATCGCTAAAGGATCATTACATAGGCGAATGCGAGAATCATGATGTTATTAACTCATTATGAAAAATTTATCGTAGAAAGTCGATTACAAAACAAATTTTATTTTTATAAAATGTTTACCGTAAAAGAACTATCACACACATTCATTTTCATTTTGAAAGTTTACCGTAAAAAGTTTACCGTTCGAAGCATATTCATGCTCCCTCAAGTACGTTAGATCCATAATTCACTCATGCACGCACATTCATGTCCACACATTCATATCCATCCATACACATTCATATCCATCCATACACATTCGTACCCACTCATACACCTTCATAACAATCCATACACATTCATATAGATTCATACACATTCATGCCCATTAATACACATTCATATCCTTTCATACACATTCATATCCTTTCATACACATTCATATCCTTTCATACACATTCATAACATCGTGCTCCATATCAAAGTGGCCGTCTTTCTTGTTATTGATACTATAATTATTGTTATAAAAAATAAGTATTTTTATTAATTAAATAATTTTTGAGCTTATTTTTAAATAAATGGATCAAAATAATTTTTTTTATTTCCAGCGGAATTAGCTCGTCCCAGACTCTAGGTCCTGTTATTTTTAAACTTGAGTTCACTAATTTAATTCTCTGCGGTACAAAATAAAATGTATGCGCGCTTCTCAAGACTTTTGTTTTGGCATTTGACGCTAGGGTAAAGAAATCTAGAAAAAATTTTGGTAACTTTTGTTGTAAGTATTTAAACACGAAGATTGCCAGAAAGTAAAGATGCAAATTTTTAACACTAAGAATGTTTGCCTCCGTATAATAACCAGTTATGTGGCAACGTGGATGAAGGCCAAGCAGCAATCGAATAAATCGATTTTGTGTTACTACAATTGGATTAAGGTGTGAATCAGGACTATTGCCCCAAAGAAGATTACAATAGACCAAATAAGGATGAATTAACGCATAATAAAGATTTACTAATATATTTTTATTAATTTTATGTTTAATTTTATGTAGCATACCTATGATTCTATATGATTTTTGTGATATTGAATTAATGTGCAAATCCCATGACAGGTTATCTCTGATTACTATACCTAAAAATTTTGTTTCAGTGGAACGAGATATTATTTTGTCATTTATTGATATTGTCAAGTCATTGATGCCATTTATAATTATTTTCGGATCGAATATTAAATAAGTACATTTTGAATAATTTATTATTAATTTATTTAATAAAAACCAGTTTGCTATATATTTTAAGTTATTATTAATTATTATCTGATCTTCTTGAGGATTTTTGGTATGAAAAAAGATAGTGGTATCGTCAGCAAAAAGTAAGAATTTAGCTGTAGTAGGAACCAGACAGAGGTCGTTAATAAACACCAAAAAAAGCAATGGTCCCAGTATTGATCCCTGCGGAACACCGGAGTTTATAATTAACTTCTCCGAATTGTGTCCATTTATCGAGACATATTGTTTTCTATTTTTTAGGTAAGTGGAAAACCAATTAAGAGCTACTCCTCTGATTCCATATACTCGCAGTTTCTGTAAAAGTAATTCATGGTTTATAAGGTCAAAGGCTTTTGACAGGTCTATAAAGATTCCGACAGTTAAGAATTTTTCGTTTAGATTATACATCACCCTTTGTGCAAACTCCAACACAGCAAGCTCTGTTGAATGGTTTGTTCGAAAGCCGTATTGCCTATCTGTAATGATGTTGTTAGCACTTAAGAATGAGTTTAATCTAGAGTGCATTAGTCTTTTTAGAATTTTTGAGAGTGGCGAGAGGAGAGAAATGGGTCGATAATTAGATACTTCCAGTCTGTCACTTTTTTTAAATATTGGTAGGATTTTCGCAGTTTTAAAGCACTGAGGAAAAATTCCTTGTGACTGTGAAAGATTGCATATGTGGGTTAATGGGACAATTATATTATTTATTATTTACTTAACTAAATAATTACTTAGTTCATCATCGGATGTGCTTTTTTTGTTTTTCATACTCCCAACTAATCCTATTATTTCTAATTCGTTAGTTAATTCAAGATAAAAAGATTTGCATATTGGCTTAATTAAATTAATACTATTCTGATTCTGTGCGTTATCATTTGTATTATCTAATAATGATTTAGTGATATTGACAAAATAGTTATTAAAAGTGTTACATATTTACATGTTTTTTATTTAGCATGTTATTTATTGCATTCCATTTACTTTTCGCGTCATTTTTTTATTGCGATATACCGCTCACCAATTATAAATTTGAGCCTTTTTTAAACAAAATCAATTTGACGTATAAATTTATTATTTTCATTTTGTTTTTCCCTCTTAAGTAATTTACTAATAAGAGTAACTTGTAACGCCAATTCATTAATCGACAACATGTTTACGAATCTATATCAACATATCTAAGTGGAGTCATAGTCTCAGACTTTTCTGACCATTTTCCAGTTTATGCAATCATAGAGAATTTTAAAACTGCTTTCAATGATGACCAAATTTTAAGTAGGGAAATTAATAAACATCCATTTTTTATTAAAAAAAACCCTTTCACTTCAAAATTGGCATTCGGTGAAAAACGAGAATAATATAGATACAGCATGCCTAAATTTTTATAATATACTCAATAAAACTCTTGACACACATGCACCTTTCCTGTGGCAGAAACAAAAATATAAAAAAGCATGGGTATCTGATGAAATAATATAATTATCAAGAAAACTGTATAAAATTGCAGTCGCTTCGCCAAACACCGCTAATGTTGAAAAATATAAACAGTTTAGAAATTAGAAAATTTAGAAAAGCAAAAAAAAATATTTTCAACAAAAATTTGAAGTGGCAAAAAGTTGCTCCTAACAAAAATGTGAAATAATTAACGATATAATGAATAGAAAACAAAACGATATTAATAAGCTAAAAGTTGACGACAAAATCATCGAAAGCCCAGAGGAAATAAATAATCTTTTCAATACTTCATCAATGTCACAATACTATACGCAGATGACACTAACATTTTCTTCCCAACTAAAGACCTATTGAAAGATGTAGAATGTATCAATAACAGTCTTTAAAATATATCAATCTGGTTTAGCAAAAATAAATTAATTGTAAGTTATTCCAAATGTAATTACATTATTTTTGGTCCAAAAATTTTAACAAATATACCTGACTTTTACATAAAAATGAACGATATTTCTATTCCTCTCTCAACCAGTACTAAATTCTTTGGAGTTACAATCAAGAACAATTTTCATGGGATTTTTCACATAGATACTTTGTCTAAACAAATATGCAAAACCCTAGATGTTATAAGTGCGGCGGTGGTGGTGGTAGTGTAGTTATTTTACTCAGGAAGTCGTATAGATCCACTGAAGTTGACCTCAAATTTCAACCTAAATCGTTCGAGTGTTTGTGTGTTTCAATGTTATCGAACAGCTCAATGTTATCCAACATCGTGACGTTAGCAATATACAGACTAGAACCCATTGACGAGCAGTTTTTCACAGAGATTCGTCAACTTTTCGAACTCCTTACACAGTTTAACGGACAAATTGTTATTTTTGGAGATTTAAACATTCATTTAGAAGATCCCACCAACGCTTATGTGTCATCATTTAAACTGTTGCTATCGTCATTTAGTTGCACTCAACACATAGACTCTTCTACTCATCGGATGGGAGGTCAACTGGACGTCATCAGCACCAGATCGGAGTATGAAGTATTCAATGTTCAGGTCAAACCGCACGTCGTTTCAGATCATGGGCTCATTTCATGCTCGTCATCAGCACCAGATCGTAGTATGAAGTATTCAATGTTCAGGTCAACCCGCACGTCGTTTCAGATCATGGGCTCATTTCATGCTCGATGGCTGTCACTTCAGCTCCTCCATCTCTTTCAACCTGCAGACGTGTTTGGAGCTACAAAAAGATAGATCGTGTTAAATTCAAAAATTCACTTATTGAAAGGGTTCTCTGTGATTGGGGAGCATACTTGGCTTTCAATGTAAACAGACTGTTTGATGTATATGAGGAAACGCTCAGACCGTATTGTTGATGGACATGTCCCGTTAGTCTACAAACAAGCGGTTGGTTTGACATTGATTGCTATGAAATAAAAGATCAACTCGTAAGTTAGAAAGGGTTTATTGACGTACAAAAAACAAATCAGACCTTTTTCGTTGGAAAACAGCCATTGCAGAAAAACACAAACTGTTTGTGTCCAAACAATCAATATATTACCAATCGCTGATAATTACAAGGTCTGATAAACTAAAACAATTGGGAAAGATTTTTACGTCATTACTTGCCAAAAAAATATATGTACGACTGCTCCACCAATCACAATTCAAGAGTTTTTAACTCATCTAAAATCAAAGTCCGAAGCTGATGAGTTGGTTGATCCGCCAAAACTCAGGTCGACCGAAAGCAGTTTCCACCAGTTTGAGAGTATTTCCGAGGCAAATTTAAAGACAATCATTTTATCTTGTTCAAGTAAAACATGCTGCCTCGATCCTATTCCAACATTTCTCTTGGTAGATATTGTTGATACACTTTTGCCATTTTTATCTAACCTGGTCAATAAATGTTTGCAAACATCAACGTTACCCAGGTCTCAAAAGATTGCAGTAGTTTATCCGTTGTTGAAGAGACCTGGTCTAGCGAACAACGTTGTGGTCAATTACATACCCATTTCGAACCTTACCTTCGTATCCAAAACAATTAAAAGAATTGTCGCTCGCCGGCTCCTCGCTTACCTGAACAAAAACTCACTACTTCCAAAAGTTCAATCAGATTTTCGTCGAGCACATTCAACTGAGACAGCGATCTTGGAGGTTGTTTCAGATGTCTGTGACGCTATTGATGCTGGTAACATGTCATTGTTGGCACTTCTCGATGTAAGTGCTGCTTTCGACACATTCGACCACCAGATTTTACTGAAGCGTCTTTCTACTTCATTTGGTATTGGTGGAGATGCTCTCAGGTGGTTCCAGTCCTACCTAACAGACAGGTCTCAAGTTGTCTGCGTTGATGGGAGTGGATTGGGCACGGCTTTCTCAGAATTGATCTGCGGTGTACCACAATGTTCAGTACTTAGTTTCAGAAATCAAATCGGAGTCGTCTAAGATCCTGCGATAATAGTGATCTTATGCTTCCTAGATTCAATTTATTTCGATTTGAGAAGAGAAGATTTTCTTTTTCGTCTGCAAAAATCTGGAAAAAATTCAACAACATGAGCCGACAGGTTTTCACGAAACGTTTGAAACATCATTTGTTTTGTCATTCTCGAGTGAAGCTAGCGCTTCTGAAGTTATTTAATAGGGACGCTCCACAAATCTTTAGATACAGATATGTATATATGTATGTATATATTTCATTAACATTGATACATTTTTCTCCTATTGACAATTTTATTTTATTCTTATTCTAATTTATTCTCGTTGTGTTATCATTGAGAAGCTATTTTGAGTTGCACGGTGGCCGAGCCCACAAGAATTAATTTTCTTTTTTTGAGACCATATTTTATACAGTGTTATATGAATTCTACCAAATTCGTGGCATTAATCAATTTAAGCTTTAAATTGATTAAGCTTTAAACAATTCGGTAAAATTCATACTATATATATAATATATATATATATATATATATATATATATATATATATATATCACAATTTGCAACATTTTTTAATGATAAGATTAAAAAAGTTAGAGAACATACAAATTCCTTGCTTGAGCCTCCTAGTGCTCCTAGTGATTCAGGGTTGTCTGACTCGTTTAGTTTTTTTATTTCGTGTTCTGGTGATAAAATTAAGGAAGTTGTGCTTAGTTCACCATTAAAGACGTTTTTCCATGACATTATTCCTGTGCATAATGACAAATGATGACCATAAAATTTTCTATGCATAATAACAAATGATGTCCATAAAATTTTCCGTGAGAAGAACAGCTATGCAAGACGTCAAGTCGCACTGGCTCGGACAGATCAGTGCAAAGAGTGGCTCACTAAAAGCAAAGGTGAACAAATGAAATCTCTGTATTGTATAGCAAAACAAGCAAAGCGTACGAAAAAAACATAGTTGGTGCCTCATGTACCAAAAACGACAAAAATGAGATGGTTCTTGAACAAGATGAGATCAAGCTACAGTGGAGAGAATACTTCAACCGTCTGTTAAATGAAACAAATCCCATCAATGTCAACTTTGACGCTCCACCCGTCGAAGGTCCGATTCCAGACATCACTGTAGAGGAGCTTACAGAAGCTCTGAAAGCTATGAAGGATGGAAAGGCAGCAGAGCCCTCTTGACTCACAAATGACATTATCAAAGCATCTGGTACTGCAGGTATCCCAACGTTATTGCAGTTTCTACAACTTTGCCGTGAAATCTGGAGAAATTGCTAAATGCCGGCTGAATGGAACTATAGCATGACAGTTCCGCTATACAAAGGCAAAGGTGATCCATTGAACTGTTCATCATGTCGGGGTATACGTCTGTTAGAACACTCCCTGAAAATTGCCAAGAAAATCATTGAGAGAAGATTAACGTCGTGCATCACAATTGGAAATTATCAATTTGGTTTCCTAGCGGGGAAATCAACATTTGATGCAATTTACATCCTTTGGCAACTGCAAGAGAAGTACCTCGCAAAGCATCAACAACTATCACACATTTTTGTAGATCTTGAAAAAGCATTTGATCGAGTTCCCCGTGAAGCAATCAGGTGGAGTCTACGTCGACAACTCATTCCAGAATATCTTGTTCGACTAGTGATGGAAATGTATACGAATACTAAGACTCTCGTCACCACAACGGTTGGAAACACAGATGTATTTGACATCGGCGTTGGAGTTCACCAAGGCTTGATTCTCAGTCCACTTTTATTTATAACTGTGATGGAAGAAATCACAAAACCGATACGCATTAGTGACCTTTGGAATCTAATATATGCTGATAATATCGTTTTAACAGCCACATCTGAGCAGAATGCAGCACAGATGTTTGAAGATTGGAACACCAGACTCGCCGATCATGGATTCAAAGTCAACATCAGCAAAACCAAAGCAATGAACACTGGTGAACCCATCCAATCCACAGATACTGGACGATGGCCCTGTTCAGTTTGTAAATCTGGTGTAGGTAACAATTCAATCAAGTGTCAGCAGTGTAACCAGTGGTGTCACAAACGTTGTTCAAAATAATTAGTACCTTATCTAAAGTGTCCAATTTTGTTTGTCCTGCTTGCCTCAATCCACAACAACAAATTTGAAATAGCAATGTTTTTGAAGCCATTAAGGTAGAGAAAGTCACATCGTTTCAATATCTAGGGGATGTTCTAGATTGTACTGGAACAGCTGAAGATGCCGTTCGAGTACGCGTACGTTCAGCCTGGAATAAATGGCATCTCCTTGTCTCTATATTGATGTGGCGTGACATCCCACTACCACTACGATCAAGACTTTATAAATATGTGATACGTCCGGTGTTGTTATATGGTGAAGAAACATGGCCAATGACAACCAAACTGGAACAACAACTTCAACGAACCGACATGAAAATGCTCCGATGGATGCAACGAATTAGTCTGAAGGACCACATCAAATCTACCGAAATCCTGCGTCGTGCTGGTTTAGATGATATAAAGGACGAATGCCGGTAACACCGTCTGCGGTGGTTTGGTCATGTCAAACGAAGTGGAAACAGTGCCATAACTTTTCTTGCAGATGTTGAAGTACCTGGCACACGTCCAAAAGGCCGTCCAAAGAAGTCCTGGTCGCAAACAATCGAGCAAGACACGAAAGCTCTAAATTTAAATGAAGTGGATACAACTGATCCTCTAATTTGGCTCAAAAAGTTGATGGAAAAGAAAACAACGTCGTACCTCGGGAAACTGGGTCTCTGGGCGCTAAACGAAGATTGATTGATTGATATTCTTGTGCATTTTTTCAAACAATATATTGATTTGTTCATACCGTTTCTCACATTTTTTATCAATTTGTGTTTTGACACTGGTTATTTTCCTAAGGCGTTAAAGCATGCCGTTGTGACTCCCTTATTAAAAAAGCCATCTCTTGATAAGGATGGTATTGCAAATTATCGCCCGATTTCAAACCTCTTGTTTTTATCAAAAGTCGTTGAACGTTTAGTTCTAAAACTATTTTTAAATAATTTGAATGTGCATGGTTTAATTCCAATCAATCAGTCTGGTTACAGGCAGTATCACTCTACTGAAACTGCTCTGATCGATATTTCTTCTGAATTGTTTGCATCTATGGGTTCACAAAATGTTTCACTTTTGGCTTTATTGGATATGAGCGCTGCGTTTGTCTGCGTCGAACAATCACTTCTTGTTCATAAACTTAAATGTCGTTTTGGTGTTGCCGGTGCGATTTTCTATCCAATGTCGAAGTTGTTATTTCCGGAGTTCCCCAAGGTTCTGTTTTAGGGCCTCTTTTGTTTATATTGTAAACGACCGATGTTTTTCCTATTATTGAAAAATATGGTTTCAGATACCATGCCTTTGCGTATGATTTGCAAATAATTGGTTGCGGTAACACAGACCCGGGTTTTGATGCGATGGTTGATAGATTTTTACGTTGTTTTAATGAATTAAGTGAATGGATGGTAAATAATAAACTAAAACTAAACGACAATTAAATACAAATTCTTCCTGTCGGTATTTGGCAGCAATTAAAAAAGATTAATATGAACTCCATCAACATCGGTGGTTCTAATGTTGAGTTCTGCACTTCTGTTAAAAATCTGGGCGTTGTCTTTGATACTGCAATGTCAATGGTTCAACATACAAAGTCATTGGTTAAAGATTGTTGCTATCAACTTCGCAAACTCAGACAAGTAAAAAAATCAGTCAATAACGACACCTTGAAATGTTTGGTTCACGCATTCATTCACTCAAAATTGGATTACTGTAACAG